TTCTGCTTGTCCTAAATATGTTAGATTTATGGACTTAATTTTGGTGAAATGTAGAAAACCTGACTTCACAAAATTATCCCACTGCTGTCCTTTGGAGGGTGATAGATAGGCCTGCTTGGAATACATTCAAAATATGCACTTAATCCAGTTCCCAATCAACACTTCCAAATCCACCTCCCATAGCCCGAAGTACACAAATAAAAATCTAAAACAATGCACAGGGGAAAAATATCAGCATCAGGTGCTTCAGGAAAGATCATATGTATTGTCATCATGTGAGCTTAACTAAGTGTCTGAAAACTCAGAATAATCGGAAAACTTTTCCTTCGAAAAAGGGCACCCTTGAAAAGTTTTTTTTTTTTTTTTTTTTTTTTCCCTGTCATAATTGCTATAGTTCATTAAAAGACACCCACACAAGCAAGTTACCCTGATGATTTTACCTGTCTTTTATTGCTTTCCTTAGCTTAAAACTACCAGGATGGGAACATATAGCTCCTTTTGGTTCTTGAAAGGGGAAAAGAGGGACAATGACACACAGAATCACAGAATCACAGAATCACAGAATTTCTAGGTTGGAAGAGACCTCAAGATCATGGAGTCCAACCTCTGACCACACCTGACACTTAGCAAAACAGAACTGGAAATTTCTCAGACAGAAAAGCCAATTTTTTTCCCCAAAGAGAGCTGCAGGAGTACTTGCTTCTGGGCAGGAACAACAAGTACAGAGTTAGTCATAGTGTTGTAGCGTGTCTGCTTCCTGGACCAGCAGGAACCAGGAAATGCAGAGGCTGCATGAAAAATACAATAATGGAAGAGGAAAATTACCCAAAGTGTTTTTACCTTAAGCAGAAACTCAACTTTTCAGAACCTTTTCAGAAAACTCAGACTTTGCTTTATTAGTAAAAATCTGTGTGGTGATCACTCCTGACTATATGCTTCAGGTCATGCTACTACATGCAGCATCGCCTGCCCTGGGTTCCTCAGTCCTTGAGGTGAAGACATTTTAATCTTCACTCCTTTCTATCAGCTTGTAAAGAGCAGCTCAACATGCAGGCAGCTTGTGGAGTCCTGTCAACTTTATGTTTTTTCTCAGACCCGTGTCACTGATGTTTATCATACCATTCATCCCCAAGTGCAAAAGCTTTTGTCACAGACTGTTTAAAGGGTCAATAATGCAGGGTTGCAGGGCTAATCTCATGCTGGATAACCAGTAACATGTGCACGTATGTGAGGGAGACAGTTAAAATAAACTACCCCTTTTTTCCTTTAGAACAGCTGGTTTTGTACCAAAATTCACAAAGGCCTTCAGGTGTTTCCTCCATGCTCTGAGCAATTTCAAAGCCCAGAGATGAGAGCAGGAGAGGAGGCTGCTCATACTCATGGCATTAGGTCCTGTAAACAAACAGGTTGATTCGTACCAGTGGCTTTCCAGGTGCTGCCTGAAGGTGTTGTGCTGTGGACCCCAGGGCTGAGATGGGGTGTCCCTGCTAAATGTGGGGGCCTGAGGCACTCAAGGGGAACTCCTGCCTTGTTATGAGGGCCTGAAATAGCTCCTTCGCTGGGGGCAGTACCTGACAGTGAACCTGAACTCCAGAGACACAATCACAGTTATCTCCTGCTGTAAGTATTCAATTAAGGAAGGAACAATAGAAAGCTTTCATCAACCAAATACTGCACACTGCCAGCTTCCTGCAGGAGCTGCTTTCTGTAACCCCAGGGGTACATAGAGCCAGCACAATAAGACAACTTGTAATTGCTTCATAATCCCATTCAAATATTCCTTTTTAGCACATGTGCAGTGGTATTTTAATTGCGTGGGGACATACTGCTTGGCAACTCCTACATTACCCAGTAAACAACAGCATTGTCTCTGCTTCAAATTCCATTAAGTGCCTGCTTTGTAGGCTGCCCTGTGCTCTCCAGCCTGGTTAATTAATGCATCTGTAATGTCCCTGGCTAATTATTGCCTCTATAACTGCAAAAAGATGACAGAGGAGGTGTGGAAACAATAAACCTTACTTTTATTAACAGCACATGGATGCAGCCACTTTCAATTTGCATACAACGTGCGCTGAACATCAAAGTTTCGGCTTGCACTGAGGCTGAGTAATTCACCAAACTCTCATCTTTCAGACATTGCTCTGGGGTCTCCGCACAAATAAGTGGTTTCATTTCACAAGCCTTGCCTATCCAAGTCCAGGGGACATCTTAGGTGTAGTGAATTGTCATGTCATATGCTGACATCCATCAAGAACCACACCAACCTTGCCACTGCTGTTCTGCAGCGCAGGAGCACTGTCCTGCCCAGCCCTGCCCCAAGCACTGACATCTCAGAGTGCATGTGCAAGAAGCTGGGGGAGATTTCAAGCTCCTCAAATTTCTTGCAAAAATAATCGTAACTTTTTTAGTCTTGACAAATACTGCAAATCCTTTCTTAAAATAGATATAACTACATATTTGGGGTTTAAGCAGTGTGGTTATTTGGTATAGTTACAGAAAAGGAAGTAAGTGGCATTTGGTGACTTGGGCTTTTCATTTAAATATACTTCACACCAAAAGAATATCCTCATTTCCCCTTTGTCAGTACAAGCAGATGTGTTTCAAACCTTATTTCCAAATAAAAGTCACCAAGATTTTTATTTGTCGAGCATATTGATTTTTCCAGACAGTGGGACCATTAAAAGTTTAATTTTCTCCTTAACGATCTGGTTTAAAAATGAAAAAGTATTCTTAATATAAATTTGTACAAATTGTCGATTGTATAACATGTAATATATGTAAAATCATCAACTTTCAAGTTTTAGCTACAGCTTTTTCATCTCATAAATTCATAGCTTTGCTTTCAGTTGAAAAAAAAAATCAATTTTAATTGAAACCAGAAAAAAAAAAAAGTTATAAGCAGATGCACCAAGTTTTCAATAAAGCTAGAACCAGTTCCAAGCTTTTTAGAAAGCTGGAGACTGTCCCCTGGTTTCAGGTTCTGCAATAAACAATTCATAGAGTTTTAATGATAATTTCATTATAGCAGAACCCTAAGAAGCGGATTTTTGGTCTGTTGGCTGGAGTCACTACATCACAGACTCAATAACAGAGCTTGTGCATGTTCCTGTTTAAGGCAGCTGTAGATGCCTTCTTAAACTGCTTGTTTCGGGTTTCCAGAAGATGAAAAGATGCAAAATATATTGCTATGTGTATTAAACCAGGTGTTTCATTACATTCAAGAACAGAGAGAGTCAGTGAGGAAAGATTAGTGGGTAAAATAGGTGTCAGGGAACTCTACCAAAAGGCACTTTTCTGTCATCAAAATCAGTTGGGATCAAGCAGCTTACATTTTATCAAAGACAAAAGAATGTTAATACATGCTGATAAAAAGCAGTTATTTGATGGCTCACTCAGTAAGGAGCCTATTTTTTTCTGCAATGTACTCAATGGGAGTTGCAGATTTCAGAACGTTTCGCTGCTTGCAGTGCCACTGATTATGCAACTGGAGCAGACGCTTCTGGCTCTGCCACGCTGCTAAGAAAAGGGGAAATTCTGCAGGAGATTGCTCCCGATTTCCAGGCCTTGTGTACCCTTAGGTTACCCGTTAAATCAAACTTCATCATCGTAGGCCAGATCTAACTGCATCTTGCAGCTGCTTGGTTATCTGTAGAGGAGCCAGCAGTCTCCCTCTGACTGTTGGAGGATGCACATTTTTTTAATGTACCAGCACAGCCAGTACCCTTCTTGGCAGTTTTACAGGAGGGGGCAAGGGCAAGAGGGCCACAAAGCATGACCAAGACTCAAGAAATTGCCACAGGCTTCAATCTGATCACATCAGCAGCATAGCTGAATGTTTCAGTACTGTTACAGCCTGGACTTTCTCAGTGGGTAGAGATATCCCAACCCCTGGGGCTGTCAAGACAACATTTTTCATCAGCCTAAAATTAACTCTCCTCATTTAAATGCCACAGAGCTCAGTGATTATCTGCTGGCAGCACGTCATGTGGATGCTGACTGTATGTTTGCCATATTTGCTGGGCTCTCCCTGCAGTTTAGACATAGATATTGCTGGAAGTGATTTCACTTCTGTGTCCTTGTTTTTATACGCTATTGTATGCAGGGTGACGTTTTCCTCTGTACCAGGTACACTAAAGCTGCATAAAATATACTCTGCTTCTTGAGCTGAGCTCCACCTACACTGCAAAAGTACAGAGGAAGAAGCTGATGGACTCAGAGGTATAGTAACAGACTGATGGCAAGCAGTAGTTATAAAAAATTTAATTCTATCACTCTAATTAAGCAATACATGCCTTTAGATTAGCACCAGCGTTTGGATAGTCATAAAATTTATTAGTCCCTTTGCATTAATCAGACAAAAGAACACTGTAACCTCCAAAAAGTCAAAATTCCTCCAACTTCAAAAGGAATTTTAGAAGGTAGGAGCATGGTCCTCCAATTATTTATGCTTGTCTCTTTTACAAGAAGCGTCTGCCCTTGATTCACTTTTATTTTTATGCCAGAGGAGAGTAATAGGATTTTAACTTTTCTAAATGCTCTCCAGGAATGTAAAAGCTTCCAGGCACTGAAAAAAAAAAAAAAAAGTAAGGACCTTAAGATTTAAAAATCTTGGGTTCAGTTCCCCTGTCTCTACCAGGCAGAACCTGAGGCCCACACTGTATAAGTTTAGGCCCCTCACAAAGGTATTTATAGGGACTGCAGAGGCACCTAAGATGACTAGCCTGCTACTATCCACCTCTGGAAGACAACTCAGTTAGTGAAAAGAATGACTGGAGGTGTCTAGCTCTTCCCTTTAATTATATAGGCAGTTTCTGTGACAGTTCTGCAAGGTCCTTCGTGCAGAAAAGAAAACTTATTTATATGCAAAATGCAAAGCAAAACAAGACAACCCAAACCAGATGATGAATGCATGAAAAATCCACTCATTAATTAACTTCCTTTGTTCTCCCAAGAAAATCATGACTAATTTCAGGATTTCTTATGTTGTGACTATGACTTTTTTTTTTTTTTTTTTTCAGCCACAAAATTTTACTGTATCTTCTGTAAAGATGGATAATTTGAGGTGCAAAAAGGTTACATTCTCTTAGGGACAGGATGAGGAATGGAGATGCGGGATCCTGAATCTGAGTAAACTGCTTGCAATCATGAAACCATGGTAAGCCAGAAGTGTATATACCTATCCTTTCTTAAGAGTTTATTAAAACTTTGTTTAGCCATGGGACTAATCAGGCCTTTGGACTGTCTCCTATGGGTTATTTAATATAGGTTGGAAAAAGAGGCAGAGAAAGCCAGTGAGGACCAAGGATGAAGTAAAAAGCACCAGTATCTCTGCCCAGACAATCGCAACACTGGACAGTGTAGATTCAGAATGAGGATAGCAGGACAGCTACTGATAGATTAGGTTTTGGTTAATTGTCAGTAAATAGCAGCAAAAGGGGAAAGTTGGAAGGGAAGAGAGTGTCTTCAAATTATTTTCCAGAAAGTCTATGTAGACTGCTTCATCACATGGAATGACAGTGAGGGCAAAAAAAGAAAAAAAGGAGCCTCTAATGTTCTTTAATTGAGTCAGCCATTTCTTCACCACATAACCCAGTTCACTCTGCAAGCACATGGAGGAGGTGTGCAAATCTCCACTGCTGTTCTGCATTCTGGCTGCCTTGCTTGATATAGTAAGTTGAATTACGCATCAGGAGGATAAAGGCAAGAGGCTTGGCCCAACAACAGCCTAGCCCTGCTCCGTCGACAGGTTAGCTCTGATTTTTGTTTTCACTGCATTTCTGCTTTTTCACAGTGGCAAGAAAAAATGTATTCACTTAGCAAACAGATTTTTCACCTTCAGTTTCTTTCCTTTTATTGTAGATCAAATTTGGGCCAGATGATCTCGACAAGTGTCCCTTTAAGATATGGCACAAGAGAATTAATTCCCTAAACTAATCTCTGTGACCAATTCATTAAGTAAGCACTGTGAGTGATGCTGGTGCTTTCAAGATGCCCACAAAGCAGCACTGGAAGTCAGAACACTTGTCATCTATATTGATTTTGCCTTTACAGTGGTTATTTCACTCAGCAATGATCACCACGGATCTGTTCAGAAACCCAGTCTCCCTTTGGTGTTTTTAACCTGTTGTCAAGTCACAGTGCCACAACTGTACTAAAATATTGATTGGAAACACCCCTGCCAGTGGGCATTCTGCTGCAGCTGGCTTCATGGGTTAGGAAGTAAAATAGTTGTGGGTCCCTGGAGAGCTCTCACTTGACTAATAAAATGTTTATTTTCTTCTTCAGGAAAATAGAAACACTGCATTTTAGGCTGGTTGATGTGTTTCTTGTGTGTTGGTGTTCTTCAGTTTGTTGTTATTTACCCTTTTAAAAAATTCAAATCTGCTGAAAAACAAAAATATTGTCTTAAACCACAATGTTTGTCTTTGTTAAAACAAACAAACAACTTGAAGCATTTTAGAAATTTGAGTCATCTTGAAACAAAAAGATTGTTTTAAATAACGTTTCATTTTGTAAAAAAAAGAAACAGCAACAAACCAACAACAACACAAAAACAAAACACAAAAAAAAAACAACACAGTGACTCACAGTGTTTCAACTCATTAGAATTTCTTCTACACTTCTCATTTGAAGCTATTTACTATCTTTGCCTTCCCCTGGATAGGAATTAAACTTAAATATCAGTGAGAAGAGTTACTTGTTTGAGAGGAGGACAATGCATTTCATTTGTAATGTATGTGGTTGGTTAGAACTACTGGAAATGGTTATAAAATTGCTGTCCCAAATGTTTCAGTGAATAGTATTCACACTTCTACTCAGAAATTATGCTTAAAATTTCTTCAGTTATTTATATGTTGACAATTACCAAAGCGTAGTCAGGTCTGACCTGCTTTCCAAAAACCTTATGAAAAATATAGCTATTTTCCCCACCAGTGCAGGATCTATTCAGGGTATGATTTGTTGCTGTCTGCAAAGACTGGGTAACTTTCCATTAATTTTTCCTCCTGCCAACTACAGAGCTGAGCTGCCTCTGGGAGAGCACATGGGACTTGCTTCCCTCTTGTGTGCCACGAGCAGTGCTATATATGCTGACTGCATATACATCCAGTTATACCCCTGCATGCTGCGACTACGGCTGCTGATTTTTTCATAGGAGTTTCTAAGGGAACAAATGGCCTGTTGTATTTTCATACTGTCCTGAACCTGACCAGGTTGTCACAGCATCATGATTTAATAGAAGTCACACTGCAAGTAAATTATACCATTCCTGAAAGCAGATAAGGCTTGAATAGTGTGATAGGGAGGAAAGAACCAAGAGAATTTGCTGGGAGCAAAGGTTAAAGTATGGAGGTACGGATTAAAGACCCACGAATGGGCTTATCAATATTATGAAGTGCAAGGACAAAGCAGGAAAGCAGAAAGTGCTGCAAGCCACTTTTGTTGTGGCAAAATATCACTCGCCTGGCTACCATGTGTCATTCAGAAAATCATCTCAGCCTCTGAGTCTGATAACAGCAGCATCTGAGGTCCACTGTGCTCTAAGTTCAATGCAAACTGGCTCTTCTAGCTCCGTTTTTGAAGTTTCACAGCCTGCCTTCTGAGACCAGAACAAATCATTTCCACAGATGTATGCTCCTTAATATCATTACACACTGGCCTGTACAATCCGTCTGGGAGAGGAGCCCATTTGTAAAGCAATATTATTCCTATGCCATGCTTTTAATTTTGAGGTTGTTATTGATAATGACTTCCTCTCACACATATCTAGCAGGGGCTGAGCTTTCATAGGAGGATGGCAGTGCAGTAGCTGTTCAAACAGAATTTGATAGTGTCACAGTGCAGAGAGGAAAAAGGCTTTGGACGTGCAAGGAACTGCATTCCACGCTCAGATTAAGAGGTTCTAGTTTCTGGTAATTGTTTAGGCTACAAAATAAGCTTCCATTACAAATCCTCCCCTTCGATATTCTTTTCCACCCACCCCTTCTTTTGCCACATTTCTACAATATTCTGCTGGGAAAGAATATTTGCCTAGCAATGCCACATGAATTCCACTCGTACAATACAGTACTCCAACCTAAGTGCAGTGTAATCTATACATAACCACCCATTAGCTCTTTGAAAAACTCAGCTATTGCTATTCACCTAATGACTAGAGGGAAATACTGGGAAACTGAATTAGGTCTCTAGAGAGCTGTCTTCAAGTGTGAAGGTCCAGAGTGCAGGGATTTTAGACTATTTCCCCTTATGATTGACTGTTAGGAGACTAACAAGGACAAACCAGAAGACAGGGACAATATTAACAGTAAGCAAAGGCCCAGAATCTGTAAGTCAGGATGCTGCTACCACCAAGGACTCATACCAAGCAGAACCCCCTTGCAAGTGTTTCAGAGAGTGCTTATACTTCAACAAGATGGACACGTCCCAACCCCACCAGAAAAAAACCTTGGGTTCACAGCACTGCCTCATAACTAGTGTCCTGAAACACCAAAGGGAAAAATTATTTATTGCATTTTCGCATTTCTGGGTCTTTCTAGGTTCCTACATCTCTAGATAGTAATTCTTTCCTCCTGCTGCCTGTAGTCCCATTTCCCTCAAAGACCCTGATTTGACAGAGGCATGCTGCTAACCCCAGGCTGAGAAAACTCACCTGAAGGGAGCACCAGCATCTCCGGCTGCTTAAATGCACTTGCTGCACTCCTCCTCAGTGCGTAGCATAAATGAATTAGCTGCAAGTGGTAAAATGACCCCTAAAATGACCCCATGGTGCCATATCTTTTAGGTTCCAGAGTAAAAGCATCTTCCTCACCAGGCAGACACCCAGGAGATACACAGCATCCCAACTGTGGAAAGGAGCCTGGGGACCTTTGTGGCCACCCGTTCACTCATCTTGAGAAGCACACTGTCACCTCCCTTTTATGTACCTTGAAAAGCTGAGGCACAAAACTTTTCCAGATTTATTATATACAGATGCAGACTCCTTTCACTGCCTGCCACAAATACACCCATAGGAGGAAAGTGGGAACCAGCTGAGTATATCTCCTAATCTACCCATTACACAGGATTGTTTTATGCTGTTAAACAGCTGCTGCGCTCCTAGAGTCACAAAAGCATTTTCTGTATTTTTCTTCTTTGAGCTCTTTTTGAAAATCTATGTCCTACATCATGTGCAAGTCATTCTGTTTCAGCACATGCTGTTTTATGGGATATAGTAATACTTGGGCACTTCCTTCATAGTCTCCATTTAAATAGCAACACCACAGCAGTACCTAAAATATCAGAGTTACAGCCAATTTTTAATACTGAGGAGAAATGGAAAAGGATTTGCACCGTGAATTTTGATCACAGAAAATAAGAGAACTCATAAGTTGCTTCAGTCTATTCCTTTTTTCCCATGGATCAGTCCTAAGTGATTATGGACAGATCTTCATGTAATCCCTTTGTATGAATCCAGGACTTATATCCCACCTGAATGAGTCACAACAGGATAAATCCCAACATCTTCACAGTCCAGGTGACACTGACAGTGACATCTTAATGCCAAACTGCACTCTATTTTTCCCTTTTCTCCCTCAAAATTGTGACTGATTTAGACAAGTGCTTACCTGTTGCTTCCACCATTCCTTCCAGGATGACCACAATTTCAAATTCTTCCTTCTCCAGTTGGGTGCGAGACATCTCCCAGAAGGGGCTTTTCTCGTTGATTTCATGTGAGATGATAAGAGGTGACACCAGGAACAACCTGTCGTCTCCAGTGTCAAATCCCACATTGATGTCTGTTTGATTCAAGGGGATGAACTCTCCCTCTTTGGTCTGTTTGGACTTAATCAGTTTGGCTCTAATGGAAGCCTCAACAATGTGGGAATTGCGGAGGTCTCCAACACGGAACATGAGACAGAGCTTCTCATCCCTCATGGAAATCACCGCATTGTTAGAAAACATGAGGGTTTCAGCTCTCTTCTTTGGTTGACTGATCTTGACAAACATGCATCCCACCATGAACGCATTGACAATGGAGCCCAGAATAGCCTGGATCAGGAGCAGTACAATGCCCTCTGGGCACTTCTCCGTTATGACCCTATAGCCATACCCTATTGTTGTCTCAGTCTCAATAGAAAACAGAAATGCAGAAACAAATCCACTGAGATTTTCAACACAGGGGATCCAGTTTTCATCTTCAAGATGGTCCAGGTCTCCCCGGATATAGGCAATGAGCCACCATATGAACCCAAAAAACAACCAAGTGATGGTATAGACCATAGTGAAGACAAGAAGATTAAAACGCCATTTGAGGTCCACCAGAGTAGTGAAGAGGTCACTAAGGTATCGATAGGTTTCTTGGACATTTCCATGGTGTACATTGCACTTGCCACTTTTCTCCATGTAACGCTGGCGTGGCTTCTTACCTTCTGCTGATATGAGGCGGGTTCGGTCAGTGGCAATGGGGACGTCATCTCGAGCCTGTTTGGGAATCTTCTTAGGTTCTCTGGATACAACTCCGATGTCCATGTCCTGGTTCATGAAGATTCGAGAATCTCCGGCCATGGCTGGGCTGAGGGAGAACAGAGAAGTAAAGTTTAAGACAGGAGGAAAAGAGCTGAGACAAAAGCCATTTCACTGTACTCTGTGTGAACCATTACATGACAGAGCAGGTCCACAAACACTGCAAATATTAATGCTACACTGATAAACTTTGCCCCATGTTGGTACAGAGCAGGTTACAGGCTGATTTTACATTAGGAAAGCTTTTTACTAGAGCCATGCCATTCTTCCTAGTATTGTTCTGGGAAATACTTTGAAAGGCTTCAGCACTTTTCTCACAACAGCCACTTGCTAAATATAATGCTGCATTGAACTGGATGTTAAATACTGATTCATAATACAGTCTCTTTAAACATGAACCACCTGCCAGTCACTTTGCTTAATGCACTACTGGAACATCAGGAAAATATGGTTATGAGCATGGTCTGGGTAAAGTAGGTAAACCTTGTTTTTCTTTTTTCTTTCTTTTTTTTTTTTTCAGTGGTGCTCAGATTTTTTTTTTAGACCTGAAATTTGCCTGAGATCACAACTAGAAGCAAAGTAAAGGGGCATCAATGTATATTTTCAAAAGGGACTGGAGCTTTTTGGTGCCTTACCTTTTGGGTGCATACCAAGAGAAACCTTAGAAGTGAATATAAAATGCTGAACACTACTGCCTACCTGAATCTCAGACGAGTCTAAATTATTCATGAAGGTTTCCCTTACAGTCAGCATAGAAAAGCACTCCCAGTGATAATTCAAATTTCAGGTGTGCTGAATCACCTTCTGGATATACTCACCCCTCTCTGCAGATTATTCTGGGAGCCTGAGTTCCAAAGGTAAAATAACCTTTTAATTTAGCATCTATAACTACATTTCTGCAGGCTTGATGATTTCAAACCTACTGGTAATCAGATATATCAGAGCCCTTTTACTTCATCTGACACTAAACAAAAGCACCGGACACTTTCAGAAACCCAACAGTTATTAAGAACCCACTGTCCACATGCAGCACTATGCTCAACAAGGTACAAAGAAATAATACAAAATGATGGCTGTAATGATTTTTGCAGGTAATAATGTAGCAACCTGTTTATTGAGATGATTTGATACTACTGAAAAAAAACACACATGCTCTACAGAAAAATGAGAGTCTTCACTCTGAATGCAGGACGCAGACAAAATCTCAGTGAAAGACTACCTAGGAAGCCTTAGGGATATCAAAGATAGAGCAGCAATATTCTCTATGGCGTTCATTCTCTGCATTGTCCTCTGCAAATCCTATTAAAATCCAACTAAATCTATTACTGCTCCCTCTATCTTTAATCTTCTTGTGTGTCTGTGAATGAGAAAAGGTGTAGAGATACAATTAAGAGTATCTTGGGAAAGGCAATTTTAAGATCAAGCAAAGTAGCTTCATCTTTTCAGTATTAAAAAGCACAAAGGGTGGGCGGGAAGGAAGCAGAGGCAGGATGAATAAATGAAGCAACAAATTTCCACTTCCATTTTGCTGTAGCCAAGTCTGGTTAACAGCAAAGAATTACTCGTAGCCCTTGTATAAGTCACCATCAATCATTACTCCAATGAAGCAGCCAAAGCCTGTTGCTGGAACCATACCCGCTGGCTCCATTCACTAGGGAGCCCAGCCATCTGTCCACAGCACAGTCCCAAAGCTTCTTTGTGCTGGCAAATTTGCCTGGTTTAAGGGTTTGGGCCAGGGCTGAGGCAGTGCAGTCACAGGAAGTAGCAGGGATTAATGTTTCTGGGATGGTCAGCCAGGGGGAATCAGGGCTGCTTCTCCCAATGCCTATGATCCTGGATATGGGATAGGTAACCCCAGGACTGTGCTGGTCCCTTCCTCCAACAGCATCATCAAGGATTTGGGCAGAATATTAATCCCTACCTCTATGTCTTTGTCTTCTTTTTCTCACACAAGACTCCTGAGAGATGGCTGATAGTATATTTAGATGTATCTTCAGCCGTTTTCTACCATTTGTCGAAAATTCAAATCTCCTTGACCATTGGTGTGGCCCTCCGCCGCCTTATAATGTGTCTATTTACATGAAGGCAAAGTGGCTGCTTGATGTCACATTATACTCTCACTTCACAACACGTGAAAGCATATGCCAAGTGCAAGTCAGAACCATCACACTGTGTTTTTTTTTTTCTTTAATAGGGAAAAAGCATCCCATCTACTGACTACAAGAGAATAAGGTACAAAGGAGAACCTCTTTGCTTCCTTCTTATCAGTATTACTTTTGATCTTTGTTTGCATTGTTTGATGAATCTAATATTACTCCATTTGGACTCAGGCTTTTGATCTATCTATGTGTGTCCACAAATGTAAAAACAGGCAAATGTTGCATGTTTTCAATTAAAAAAAAATAATTTTGTTAATATTTTTTATAGGAGTTATACATGAAGCTGAATTTCACTTACACTAACAGTATGTAAGAGAGAACAATCAATTTCAAGACATTCATCTATAGCATAAGGTTCCACATTTTACATTCATACCAAAGAGACCAAAAGGATCTTGAAACATATTAAAAAGATCAGAATAGAATAAAAATAATCAAAAAGACTAAATCTCTAGAAATATCACTCTGGTGAAGCAGGCTAGAGGGACTGTCCATTAATGAAAATGCAGGGAAACCTGCTTTAACTAAAACACTCAAGGGACTGGAAACACCACTTTTCTAATGCTACTGATCTTTAGCAATAGGTCAAGTGAAATCTTTCTGGAAATCTTTAGGAACATCTTACAAGTGCTCCTTCAAAATTCCTGCTTTAAATGAACTTTACTGATAGCTTCAGTAGCATTACAACTTCTGCCAATATTTAATCTTAAACTCTTTCATCGCAGCAAGAACATGACCTCAGTATGTGGTTATTGAAAATAATTAAACTTTGCATTATTATTTTTTTTTTAAAGGAGTAATACTGGTTAGGAGCTTGAGCACAGGCTAGAGCACAGACTATCCAGCTTTCTGTTCCAAGTGCTTTCAATTTTTTTTATTTATTTATTTTTTCTCTAATTCTGGGTAAATCAGTGCCTCTCCTTCTTCCTTAATTCCCCAGCTGTAAAATCTGTGATACAGATACAAACAGTCTGTGAGATCCTAGGCACAAGAATCTTCTAGGAAATTTGCCCGTATTGGTTTAACCGCTCGGAAAAACTTTATCACAAATGGCAAGATACCAAAAGAAAAGCACTGTACCTATGTAAAGATCTGGTTTACTCCTTTACTGTATAATATACTGCCACCACTACCAAGCATACACATCTTTTCTGGATAATAGTAATTATGTGCAAGCATCTCACAGAGACTTAGACTTCAGGTTGTAAACCACTGCTCCATCCAACAAAGCTCTGTGACATGAAATTGCCTCTTAGAGTCACACATACCATCCTGTTTCATTGGCATTTACCATCTTTGGTTAAATGGTGCCAGGATAATAAAAATGTCACTTTTGTATAGAGCTGCTTTCCTTTTGGACAGGCAGCTGCAAAACGAAATGTGAGTCACTGCATTATCAACCTTGCAAAGAGGCTTTTTATCAGACTTGCTGTGGCTCTGCTTTTGCCCAGACGACAGACTCAGGGGCAGTCATTGACATTTAGGGCTCTTAGCTTTGCTAACGCAGAGTCAAGCTGGGGTTGGCTAAATATCTTCTGAAGGCATTGTTTTGCAGAGCTGTCCACAAGCCCTGCCTGGCAGTGCTGATGTACCTCCTGATAGCTCCAAGTGTTCAAGATAGAAATTTGCTGAAGATGTTGCAGAAGGTACAACAAGAGAAGCCTTTTTCCCCTGCTTACCATGGTGACTTTTTCCATTTAGGTAACTGCTGGTCTCATTTAGGTAAATATAGGTTTCAGTGTTGGTAGGATTTACTTCTGGAGGGGTCTAAACTGTCAGGCAAGAGGAGTTCAGAGGCATGAATTTGCCATTAAGTTTGTGCAAAAAATTACTTCCTTCTGTTTCAAAGCCTGATGCTCATGCTTTCTCGCATTATGAGAATAAATGAGCAACATCTCCTCAAGTCGGGATTTTACTTGACTGTATCATCTGCTTTCCAAATGAAGAGTCCTGCACTACTAAACAAGCAATCAATATAGTAGTAAATGCTAAACAGATCATTACTGAAAAACTCGACCTGGTTCTTTTGCTGCCTGTTTGAACACGCCATATAAAAGGGAGCCTAGCTCACTGTCCCCAGATTCCTCTGCAGCACACAACCTCTTTGGGTCACACTGTAAAACAGGAGTGAAATGCATGATTGACGGACACTAGCACCATGGGAAAGCCAGTAGAGGAAAGCAGCATATTAAAGCAATAGCACCCAAGGAGAATCACAGAATCTCGAGGTTGGAAGAGACCTCAAGATCATTGAGTCCAAAATAAAATACAAATACGAATAAAAACAATGACTGCTGAACAGTGAGTGCCCATGGAAAGGCAGAGGAACAGGACATGCTAGGGAAGGATGGCCTTCCACAGATGAAGATAGACGGCTATTAGGTAGCTGCTGACTGACAGATGGGCTCTGATTTCCCTGAGAAAGGCATCTTTCCTGCTATCCTTTTATTTACTGTGTGTATACATCAGACTCCACAGTAAACAGTGCAAACACAAGATTACCTTTCAAGGTGTACATGAGAAAAAGAAAGGCAGGCAGATTTTGTGCAAACCATGTCACCTTTCAGCTTTCTGATTTACAGAGACTAGGAAGGCTGACTGTTTGGAAAGTGCTTGGGGATCCACAGGTGAGGGGAATGATATAAGAGTTTGCTATTTAAAAACAAGGCAAAACACTTCAGGAGACTGCACAAGATGAGATTGGTGGTTCAAAAGCTCCCTCATCCAAGTAATTGCTTTTTAAAGTGTAATCTCATTCAGCACTGAAGTAGGGAGATGCCTTTCATTTCCTCCGAGTTTTCATTAAGTTGCAGCACTGCTTTTCGAATGTGGTGACAGGCACGGTATCACAATGGAGCTCCTCTGGGGCTTGAGGAGACACCCACCCACCAGTACACAAAAATGGGTGAGTGATGATTAACTAGGCAGCTACCAAAGGAAGCAAGATGACTTTGTGCTTGTTACAGAGCTGAGCTAATGACGGCCTGTCTGCTTAGAGTTCATTAGGCTCAGAAGTACTGAAACAGAAGGTGTTCAGCCTTTCAAAACAACATTCTTTCTAAGAAAATCTCTCTGGGTAGGAAGTCAATATGACACAGAGACAGACAATACGTGTGGACATTTGTGATTTACTTTTAGCTGCTCATTATCTCCCAGTCTATCTTCCCATGTAATGCTGGATAATCACAGTTCTAATATTCCTCAGCCCTTTCATTGCCAGTTGAGAGGTGCCCCCCCCTTCCAGAGTATCATGTTTCACAGTGCTCAAGACAAGTAACATGCTTTAAATTTATTTATTTATTTTTTAAGATCTGTGCAATACAGAAGTGCTCTAGTTCCCATTTTTCAGGACGAGGAAGCGAATCACAGACGCTTGCTTGTCCTACACTCACATGGAAAATCTGTGGCAGGGCAGAGGATTGAAGTGAGAGTTTCCAAAATCCTAAACAAGAGCCTGGATTCACTGCACTGCTCTTCTTCCCTTCCACCAATCCAACAGCAGGCCCTGTGTTTCAGTGTGCCTAAATATTACCCTGAAAATCCTATACAGTCTAATCTTTTGGCATGAATAACCTAGCCAGATTATTTCTAATGCCAGTAAATAATACTGCTGCCATTACTGTGAATTTTTTCAAAACCAGAGGAGTGAGTTCCAGAAAAAAAAAATATTCTTACAATGTTCTCTTGAGTAGCTACAGATTTCAAACAGATTTTTCCCACAGTATAGATTAAAGTATAAAAAAATCCCCCACATAAAGCAAGTTTGCAGATTCATTAAATATTTCAACTTCAGACTAATGCAGAAAAGAGTGAAAAAATAAAATTGCCATGAGAATGGAAGGCTGGTTATTGTTTTTTCAGACAAAAGATGAAGACTAGGAGATGCCTCATGAGACATCGTAATGACCCCGGTGTACGGGCTGCAACAATTTGTTACAGAACAAAGACCAGAGAGCAGAGTTTTCACAACATAAGGGGTACGTACTACTTGAGGTAGTGTGTGGATGGAATATAATCAGCGTAACCTGCAGTCAATTACTTTACACTTCCTTGAGTTATAGAAGTTGAGTATGAGAAGTCCATGTGCAAAGGATGCAATCACATTATGCTCTTTGGTGCTCTTAATCATTTTTGAATAGTCAAGCAATATTTTCTTTATCAACAAATAAATCCTGAAAATAAACCAATTTGATCTCTCCTTCTCCAAGGAAGTGACTCTGCCTGAGGCACTCTGCAGCCTCTCTGTCCTTTCATCCCAGACTCTATTTTTAGGGAGACCTTATGGCGTCATTGAAAAAGTGACTGTTATCTTTCAACAAACACAACTGAACAAAGAAAGACAGCCACTCTTGTCCTGATAAGACACTCCTGTTTCTCCTGCTACTGGCTGTTTACACATGGCACACGGAATATTGGGATAAGCAGAACCTCAATTCTATGAGAAAATTTGGCCCCAAATGTAGTCATGTTCTGGTTCTTCATTGTTCAAATGTTGCACCTTTATTGCAACTGAGAGTCTCTATATAATCCTGCAGCTGGCTTGAAAAATAAAATAAAATTGAACAATGTTAATACCACTTCACACTTCTGCAGCACCTTGCATCCAAACAGCCCAAATATGAACTGACCAAATACAGGCTCTTTCTACCCAAGAACTGTAACAGTGCTATTGAAACCACTGTGCAGACAGGAAAAGACAAGTCACAGTGAGACAAAGAGACCTACCAGGACCATACTGCTGGTAAAGTGCCAGTGCTCACCTGATGTCTGAGTGCCTCTCCCTACTGCTAACTGAATAGAGTGTGACAAAAGTCCAGAGATTTGTCTCAGAACATGATGCTAAAGCTCTGCTTGCCTTTTTCAGAGTCCGTAACTAATCAGGCTGGAACCTTCCAGAGATGGAGGGTTTTCTCTAATAGAAACCAAAAAATGATCCCAATCCTTTATCTCCATCTGAGGAGAAACAGTGGGGGAACGAATCAGACCCCAGAAGTCAAACAACTCCCGCAGCACAAACACAGCCAGACACCTGCTATAGAAGATAAGGTTTGCTTGGACTGGTTAGAGAACCTGGTAAGAGAAGTCAGTTTTGTTTCCTCCCATGCCACCCAACTATGAGGTAGTTGAGGTATAAGGTAATGAGCCTGCTCCAAAGGAAAAGAACAGGAGGAAGAACCTGCTTGACTGCTTGATTAAAGAACCCCAGAAAATCAGGTGGTAAGCTTTTTGGGACAGTTTCTGCCAATTCTTGATAGATTTCCTGAAACTCTCAGGACAAAACCAAATGGCAGAGATGCTGTGTAAGAGTTAGCCTGTTACTCTCAACCAGCAGCCACTACCACAAAAAGGAGTCTGGGCGATATTTGCCCAATGCAGCAGGACTCGGTACAAAAATGAGTCACGTTTTTACCTCACGGGCCATAAACACCCCTGGGGCTCCCAATGCATTTATTCATCTGTCCCCCTCAAGGCTGAACATTCACTGTCTGAAGACTACAATACAAGGGCTCCTTGAACCTAAGCTGACAAGTAAGCATCCTAATTATAAAATAATTTAATCTTTGACTCCAGGTGAGGATCACACAATCACTCCATGCATCTCAGCATTGCTCACTGATCAGCCTCTTCCTATCCATTGTATTTCAGAGACCTCCACTAATCTGGTATCTGAGAATTTCATTATTTTTAATGTTTTTTCCTACATAGCACCTTTACTAGATTTGACAGTGCCTTTGTATAAGATCAACATCTAATCCCTGGCTTCCCAAAGAGTTTCCTGGCAGCTAGCAAGTTAGACAACCGCACATCTCTAGCTGTCACCCTGGCAGGGCCAGGCACAGAAACACGGTGCTCAGCTGATCTGATGCCTCAGCTACTTCTCCTCCTCCTGGTTATCGATTGTTAGCAGCCAGAGACAAAAGCAAGTACACTGGAAAAGCAAACAAAATCAGGTAACTTACTTGCTAAGAGTGACTCTGCATCAGTCTTGTGCCTTGGCACTTTGGGGATGCTGGACGGTGACAGGACTGAGAGGTAGGTAGAACAGCTGCTGGAAAAGTGTCCGGTCCATGCCATCACCAGAAAGCTGGGGTCGTCTTCTGCTCCTTGGGTTGTCTCCTCCTTTCTTCCCTCTGCCTGTTATTACAAAACATTTACGTAGCACGGTGATTTAAATGCACACACCCCTGTCCCTAGGTATTCCTGATTTCCTTCACTCTGTCAGGGCTGAGGAGGGGTTCCCCAAACCACTGCAGCACTACTTCTGCCTGTCAGATGCCAGCCTGCCCTTGCCCCTGCTCTCTCCCATCCCGATGAATATCTGGTGTGCAGCTTGTTAAAGGGCTGGGGAAGAGGGAAGGGAGAGGAGAGGTCTGCATGTGAGAGGGAGCATCATCTGTTCTGAATGAGCAGGAAAGGGAAAGGTGGCAGAGTGAAAGCAGAGGGGAGGGGTTTAAGGCGCTGCTTTGCACAGCAAGGGCTGGCTGGGGAGGGGGGAGAGGAGAGGCAGGGGACGGTGCTCCCTGCCACCACAGGGTCTGTGCCACCTCCACGAGCTCTGTGTGCTTACTTTTCCTCCCAGGGCTGCTTCTCAGTTCTCCTCTTGCCTGGGTTCCTGGGTTCTCCTTTCCTGGAGAGGCGCTTTTTTTTTTTTTTTTTTTTTTTTTTTTTTTTTTTGTGTGTGTGTGTGTGTTAAGGGGTGGGGACTGCATTCTTGCTTGAAATCACACAAACTGAAAGCAGTGCCTAAAAACGGAGAACAGGGAGAATGCAGAAGCTGTACATTTATCAGGAGGCACATGTGTATGCATTCATCAGCACTGTGGAAATCCTTTCATCCAGGCTGAACCAAGGAATTTGGGAAAAGTGGGGGGAAGGAGGGAGAGCGTGATTCCTCTGACGCTCCTTTGCCTGTCAACCACCAAGCTGCTGAAATGATGTTTGCTCAGGTGCATTGTTTGCCTGTGATCCAGCTAGTCCCAGGAAAAAGCTCTTTGGTGATTTGCTTCCCTGCCCCCCACCTTTTTTTTTTTTTTAAAAAAAAAAAAGTCACTGATAATACCACACTGTCTCCCTAGCTTCATAAAATATTTCCTTTTCTGAAAAGCAAATGTCAGGCCAGCAGCAGATATGAGATAGAGCTGCCTGGTGACTGCAGGTTACCTTCAGGCTTTGTTGCCCTGTTCCCTAAACTTGACACCCCCACTCCTCCCCAGTTTTCTGTTCCAGGAGCCCCACACGTTACAGCCCATCAGAAATGCTTTCACAGGAGATTTTCTGGGCAGGAAGAGAGAACTTGTCAAAATCAAAACATGATACAGGAACGTGTCAGTAGTGCTGGAATCTGACAGCAATTTGTTCCATTTTCTACTGCAAAATTACTTTCAATTGATTTTTTTTTTCTTTTAAAGTTACACTATCACTAATGAAATAAATCAGCATTGGAATGACATTTTACTTTTATATTACTGTATGGGTATTTTGCATCTTTTTATTTGCATTCTTGTTTTGGAACAAAGGAAAAAATGAACCAGAGAACTTGTGGCATTTGAAAAGAAAGAAAAGAAATGTGATAGAAATTTTGATTTCTTACCATTTTAAATCTAGGATACATAACACCTTGTTAGGAGAGCTAGAGCAGAAAAATAGCTGTTGAGAATTTGAAAAAGACATGCACTAAAGAAATAAACTCACCTTTGACTATTCATTAATAGTCCTGTTATGCAGGGGACTGGGTTAGGAAAATACATCTCTATAGATGTACTTTTTACCAGTGTTCTTGTTCTTTGATCTGTATATGCAATTTGGATCTAAACAGATGGGATATGAATCTGGAGCCAGACCAAGGACTTTGGCTACTAAACACAAGTTTTGTGAATGTAATATCACTTTTCCACTTGTTGTCAGTTTATATTTCCCACTGCACAGTTTGGACAATTAAATCTGACTAGCCAGTTTGGCTTCTGCTTCTCATGAATTTGAATGGTGCTACCCTGGCTAGGATGCAAACAGCACAGAGGGCTCAGCTCAGCACTGGAACTATTTCCACTGAAGTAAGACATGGTATAATATACTGTTGATGAAATCCTGTTATGTTAGATCTTCTGCCTGCTCACAACCATTAGGAATGCTCCTTGTTTTTCCAGCAATATGTATTTTATTTTTTTTTAGGACTACATCTACAATATATGAAATATCCTTATAAAATTATGGCTCAGAGAGTACAATAACAGTTATGGGTTTTGTCTGCATTTTTTTTTTTTTAAATACACAGTTAAACTTACCCCAAAAGTACTAAACAGCAACTCATACAGCAGGAGAGTCAGTCCCACCTAGAATCATAACATTAGCTTTCAGGACAGGTTAAGTTGCTCGATGAGGCTTCCATGCCAGCACTAAGGACAGTGTCACCTTCATATAGGCATCAGCTCCGCTTCTTCTTTTATTTAATCTCTTGTAATAAGATTTAGAATGAATTTTTGTGCTAGGAAAAGCAGCCCAGCCAGCAGCCCTAGAGGAAGAGAGCCTCTGCAAGTCTGCAAAGCTAATATGACATGGGCTACGTCAGGAAGAGCCTTTCTTCCCACATCCCATGCACACGCTCATCCAGTGCAGCTCATCTACAAACCCAGTAGCCTCTAAGAGGACAGGGGTCTCCCAGACATGCAGAAGGGTGGGCTCACAGCATGATCATTTCTGCAGTGACAATTTTCCCACCTTGAGCTACAGCATTGTTTCATTTACAGGTAAGAAATTGCACTGTTTCATCCAATGTAAATAAAAACTCTTTCACATTTTGAACCGATTCCCGTTTTTTCCTGCCAGGATTGAAACTCTGCTAACAGGCACTGCCATCTGCTGGCATAGATATCCCTTCACCGATATCCCTACAAAAGGGGAAAAGGTCTTAAAAGGGTTTTCTGCAACCTAACCACAGGTTAAGGTTGCAGAAAACCCTGTTTCCCCAACATCTCCACATGCATTAACCAGCTGGAACAGAGACCTCTCCCCTGACAAGAGGTGGGACGGCCGCACTGATCTGCGGATGCTGCCCGGTGCATACCCTAAGTGCATTTGTGTGCTGGGGAGGCCGCCTGTCACAGGACGTGATGCACCAGGCACGTTGCAAAGCACAGCAAAGATCACAGAACAGCAGATGCTCAACAGGTTTGTACTTCCACCGACATAAAAAAGGACTTTTGGGAGCTGTCTCTGGAGACACGGTGCCTTTTGCGTGGGCCCATGTAAGTGCACGCAACTTGACAAGTTTCGTTACTTGACTTTTGCTTCCTTATTCTTACACTCTAAATTACAGCACTGTTGTACCTATGATTTCAACCGACGTCTTCCAATTTGCACTGATTAAAGACCAGACACATCTGAGAACAGTTTTTCAGCTGGAAGCTACGCTTCATTGAGTCGGTGACATCAATGTGCCCTTGCTAATGTCGTTTAAAAGTTGTTAATGGCCTCACAAGTTTGAAATATATTAAAGAATTCTGGGTATCAGCTCACTGCAGAAGAGGAGGATTTAACACAAAATGGCAGTACAGTTTGGAATTATTCTCAGGCTCGAATGTAAACAAGGAAATGCAGAGGGAATGCTTCTGAATCAACAAGGCAAAGTTCTCTCCATGTTTGGGATGGGATTCATCTCAGCTAATGCCATTTAGGATACACAGGTCCAAGTCTAAATAGTCATGCTCTTTCTTTTCTAACCAATGCAGGGGATGGGTAGTACCAGGATGCATCTGAATTAGACCCCTAGTTTAGAATGGGATGAGCGCTCCTGGAGTGCATGGACGCAAATTTCACTTCAGTGCAACATCTTGATTAATCTGGGGGTGCTCACAAGCTCTAACAGCTGTGCTCCACAGGACCTCTAGGGCTATTCAAGGGGATGAAATGATGGCAACTGGAATGCTCAATTCCTGGATTTGCAAACAGAACAGGATGTGGAAGAGCAAACTTTAATCTCATTTTGGTATAACAAAATAGCTCTCCAAGGACATTATGTATATAAAAAGCTTTCATAATGCAAACATCAGTTTGGATTTTTTCTGGTTCCTGTAGAATTCAGCAGGGCAGTCCAATTTTTTGAGCTTTCATGAACCAAATGAGGAGTAAGCTCCATTTCCTTGAGGTTTCGCTGCACATAAATGAGCCATTCACACTGATGAGCACAGACTGGGCCATGACATTTATCACCCAAAGGGACAGTCTTCATTCTGAACACCAGTGACAGAATCTAAAGCTTGCTCTAAAATGAGTGGTGTCTGTTTATGGCTTTACATGCATTGAAAGAAGAGGGAGCAACAGGACCTTCAGGGAGCATTTTAATTTGCTGTGCAATTTGATCTCTGCAACGAGAGATGTCTCCTCCTGTTTGTCAACCATTAGCCTACTATCCCACTAGAAGAAAACAGTTGTAGGAGCCAGTGCTAGAAAACAGCTTCTAAGATCATCTCATCCACCTCCACTCTTCCCTGGTGTACTGAACAAGAGCAAGACTTGCAAGTAAGGCTTTGAGAATCCAGATCAAAATTAAGTGATGCTCACCCACTCTGTCTTGAGTTCCTTTTGTGTTTTGGGGCTTATTCAAACCCCAAGCTCAAAACGAAACTTGGGAAGTAGGAACAGAGGCAGACAAGGGGAAGGAAAAGTTTCTGCAATAAACCCAAACTCCCCCGCCTCTGCTAAGCATGTGTGGAGGAGTCTGCTTGCCATTTCCTTTGATATGATAATGAGGAGCTAATGCTAACCTGGGGAAAGAGACAGCTCTTCTTACAGTTACGTGGGGCTATTGCCTAGCACTGATCACATCCCAAATTGTTGCTATCTTTTAACTTCTGGATCACCCGCAAGTGTGTTAGGCCAATTCTTAGTGAACAGCCATTATAATTAACAGTAATTAAGCCCTTATTTTGCAGGCACAGCAGCAGAACCTAAGGCTGAGGAGCACCCAGAGACCAAACTTCCCATTGCAGCCGTGGGGCAAGGGAAGACCAGCGAGGGCACTGCTTGAGCTTATGAACTCGTGCCCTTGGGACACATCTATTCTGCGAATGAGCCTGCAGGGCTGTTCACTGAGAGCTCAAACAAACGAAAAAATGCAGTAGCTGCAACACACTGCCAATAGTGCCAAATTTAGGAAAAAAAAAAAAAAAACACAAACAAAAACAAAAACAAACAAACAAACAAACAAAAAAAGCAGAATTTCCTTGCTAGGCTGTCAGAATTCAAAAAGATTTCTGACAAAAGCAAAAGTCTTGGTTCATTCAAATGGGAATCTCAATGCATTAACTTCCTTTCTCGAACTGTACAGCCTTTGCTTTGCAGAGAAGGATGGGCACGTACAGGATGTAACAAGCAAGGTACACTCAATTTCTCAATCTCAGCCAGTAACCAGCCCCTTCATTTACAAGGAATATCAACTCTAGCTTGTGCTTTTCCTGGCAATGATAAGAGACAGAGCCAGCA